GATCTCTTAAATGAGGCGGTGCATCACTGTAATGTAAACCAGCTTACTGTATAACGAATTAACTCTTTATTTAAATCATATCAGTTATACAAAACATTAAAGTGTTGGGAATCGTTTGCACCGCTTAATTTAGAATTGTAAGTATTAATAAAAATTCCTGTTGTCACGTATCTTTCTACGTTGTGCATATCAAATGAGTTGGTTAGAATTAAAGAATTCTGAAACTTTTTTCCTCCAATTTCCATAGTTGACGAAAGAGTTAACTTGAGCTTTACTTGCAGTAACAAACTGGAGAGAATCTGTTTGCCTTCTCTCTCTCAACAATATGATTTATGACAGGCTTTATGTTGCTCTTCTTATGGAGTGCACCATTCTTGGCAGGAGGCAGAATCTTGCATGTGTCTTTAACTATACTTCTGACAGGATTTCCTAAAGGACAAAGAGGCCAATGTTAAATATCGCGTATAAAGCCACAAAGAGGAGTCCTGTGCTCTTTCCAGAATAGAAATAAAAAGGCTTAACTTCTGTATCCTTGTAACTAAGTATGCTCCTTCATTTATCTTTGCAGTAATAAGCATATATAAAACTGTATTTTAATGTGCCGAATAAGCGAATAAAAAAAAATATTCGAGCGACAAAGGCTTCATCCTCTCTGAACATGTTATTACGTCTTAGAGTACCTGTCATTCCTTCATGGTCGGGTTGCTTCGTGTTCTACAGTGCTGATGTGTACGTAAACTTGTTACCAGCAAAGCAGTCAAAACACACTGTATTTTTTACTTTAAATTATAGGCTCTAACTCTTGCAAAATAGCCGCCTTTCCTTCTGTCTTTCTTTGATTACCCAGTATAATCATATCATAGAACTAGTCCTTAAAATGGTGATTTATGCAATATTGACATTGCTAGTAATTTTACTTTCATTAAGTGTATTTTATGGCTCAAGACCAGAGAACTCTAATACTCCATCATTTACTTACCTTTTTCAAACATGTTTTTAAACCAGCTGCTGCATGCGTACAAGCTACCACAAGAAGTCGGCTTCCTATTTTATAACCACTTAGGTTTGCCACTGGTGCTGACCTGTTCTGGCCCGGTTATTTCTTTTCATAACGGCAGATACGGTGGATACTCAGTGGCTTAAATATAATTGATACTGACATCTGTCTCTGCACTGACTGTGAGAAGTCTCCACCATAGAATTACCACGGTGACACCACTTGATAGTACTATCAGGATGAGGGCTAAAGGCTCAATGACCGCAGGGACTGATCTATCTTTACCTCATAGTGGCATCTCTCTTGGTTGGAAAGTTTGGGCTCATATTGTCTGTGAAGGACCTTTCTCTGTTAAAACTGGCTATCTGGCACGCTTTGCAATAGACTTCATTTAGATAGAATTGCTAAAATGGTATGACTTTTTCTACTGGACTCCTGTGTTTTGTTTGTGGCTTTTTTTTTTTAATCTCATGAATATATGAAATCTAAGAATTATCTTGGTGGGTTCTGGGTTTTTTCTTTCTGATGGTTTTATTCAGCTGCTCTTTTCAGAGGACGAAAGCTTACAGTTACCTGCTGTTGTGATTTCTGTTTCTACCAACAAAACAAACAAAAAAAAGTGCTGGAATAGCTTCTAGAGTCAGAAACAAAATCAGTGCTATTTTGTATATTTTAAGCATCTTTTCTTTTAGAAAGAGGGTGATGCAAAAGAAACATCTACGTGTAGTATACTTTTAGTAACAAGTGATCAGTTAAATCTGCTACCATCTAAGTGTATTTTCTCTGAAATTCTCTATAATCCTTGCTCGACAAGTCAAAATTCTGTATGTGATTTTAAGTCCTGTTATTTATGTGATCTGTTTAAGGTACTTCGGAAAAGGTCCAAAGTGCTTTCCAAATATGGGTCCTTGCTAAGCTCTTTGGCTGTGCGTTACTTGAATATGAAAGTCTTGATTAATGCCTGCAGTTTTCTCCCAGCATATGCTAAGATAGTACTTTGAACTTTTACTGTGTTCCCTGGTGCTATACATAAAATTCATTTGGAAAAAGAAAAAAAAACCCTAAATATAACACTTTTTTCCAATTAGAGGAAATGCCTTTTTTTTTTTTCCCCCCAAAAGTGTTCACTGCTGTCCTTGTATGCTTTGTTCTGGTGTTCAACTCGAAGCTGAAGGAACAAGGTTTCTTGGCCCTGATAATCCCAGCTAGTCAGGAGTTATGAATGCCTTAGGATGACTCAAAAGTCAGGTCTTCAGGATGAGAGCTGAAAGACATCCAGGTGTCCTGTTTCCTGGCTCCAAAGTATTATTGATGGCCCTTAGCTGGGTGCCCTGGGTTGGCTCCTATATGATGGAAGTCAGGTGTGCAAAACAAATAGGCAGAGCAAGAGGAGACCGAAGTTGAGCAGCAGCAAAGTTTGGGGGAACAGACGAGTATTTGAATGTAAGTAAATTTAAATTAAAATGTCCCTCTGTTGCTGAGGCTGTTTATTCTGAGGTTGTGGGAGGCCTTTTTTTTGCATTGGAGAGATGAGTGGTGTGAATCCCTCCTGGAATCAGACAACTCAAAGGAGCGGTAGGTAGTGCCTGCTGCTGTTGAGTTGGTTTTGGTGTCTTTTGCACATCTGCTTCCCCCAGGGTTTTGAGGATGCAGCTATGAATACCTAAATTTTGTCAAATAAAGCACTAGTACTTGACTGCAGTGCTGTGGTAAACATTTCCCATAGCAACTTCGGCAGTGCTGCAGTTAACGTAGATCAAGCTTTAGTAAACCATGCAGTGAGGCTTGCTAATAACGTTTTCTCTTCTAGGCTTAAGTAGCCAAAGATGAGTCGTGGATTTTCAGAAAACAATAACTTTCCGTATGACAACAATCAAATGGTTTTGGATATGATCCTGTGTTCCCTAATTGGTGTTCCTCAGCCTATCAACTGGGACAGCGTGGCAAGGCTAGTTCCAGGATATACATCCAAAGAGGTGAATTTACTAATAAAAGAATTTGTATACTTTAAGCAGTATTTTATGAAGAAGAAAACATCTTTGGGTGGAGGGAGGGAAATTGAAGTTAAGGGATTATTTTTTTTCCCTGAAGTAATTTATACCTAAAGAATCAAAAATGTTAAATGAGCAGTAGATGGAAAAAAAAGGTTTTTGTTTCTACAAAACCTGAACATTGAAATTAAGAAATACATTCTGCGTTTTATTTCAGTAGTACAGATACAGAATAAGAACAAAAATTACTGGAAAGTAAAAATTAAGAAGTGGAATAAAAAAAAAGTAGTTGTGCTAAGGTATTTCAAATTACATAGCTAAGATTTTCACGGAAAGGATGGCAGTATCCATTAACTTCACGTAGATTGTGGTATACTTACTAGCAAACCTGAGAGCTTTCTATGCTTGTCATTACAATCCTAAGGAAGTATGAGTTAACAGATCTCTATTAGGTAGTTAAGAGTGCAGTTGCTTCTTGCTTGGTGCTGCAAGATGTGGATTTTTCGTTCTTTGGTTGGGATAGAGTTGGATGAACCTAGTACCTCCATATACGTAATCTTTCTGGATCGCTGAATTTCCTGGTGAAATGCTTGCTTTTTTAAAAATAATAATTTCGAATTTTTCAGTTCTGAGGGGAAGTGAGCTAAAAGAGGAAAATGTCTTTGCCCTTGTGATTCTGCAAAGCTGGGAAAAAAACAAGCCAACTGTCCTTATTTTCTTGCGAACTTAATCAAATGTGTCAGCTCACATTTATAGCATTGCTAGTGGGCATCACTGTAACCTTGTATTTAGAATGTAAAAGTGAATGATTGGGAGTAGAAGCTTCTGTGGAATGTTACTGCCTTTCAAGTGCTTGGCAAAGTGCAGGGGGGGGGTGTCTCTACGGTTTACCTTTCAATTTGCAGACAGCACTGTGCAGATTAAGCAAATAAAATAATTATAAAAGTATTGGTGAGGTCTCTCCTCATTAATTAAGATAACGATTGATTAGTACGTGTCTGGTTACTCAGTTTTAAAAGAACAAAGTGTCTCAGATATGTGGAGCCCCTGTTTAAGCCAATTAAGGAAATGTATACTTATGCTTTTATGTAGCTGTTGCATATAGTAGACTGGCATCCTTACGAATTTGAGGCACTACATTAATATCAGAAGGATGTCACTGTGTGCACCTCTCCCAAAGGGGCAGGTGGCATGCAGCAATGTCGGTTAGCTCAATCCAAAACAAACAAATAAAAACAGCTGCTTGAATGGAGCCTGAGGAGCTGTGTTACAGGAGGATCACCTGTAGAATTAAGTAGACTTCCTTGTATGTGTAAATTAGCTGTGTGTAGGATTCTGCTGAGTCAAACCTGTAATTGTCATTGTATCAGTACAAATTTACAAAATGGAAAGACTTTCTGGTTCATCAAAACACGGAATGGGAAGTTAATAGAACTGCAGTGGAAATCACCAGTCTCTTTTGTCCAAATCAGAATGGCAGTCATAAAGTAAAAGAATAATAACTATGAACCAATTACTAGAGCTACTTTTAATAATATTTGACAATGTATATGGTAAAAGAACTAGTTACAAAAAGAGAATTTAACTCTCCCCATGAGTTTCCCTTTTGAAGATCAGGCTTAAAATCACAGGGTTTAAGGAAATTAAGGTTGAAACAGGTTCCATCTTATTTTTTTCTCTTTCTGTTAGAGTGTTTAATTATGGTAAATCTTACTTATTTTACTGTATATGTATGTACTTTCCCAATACCACTAACTAAATAGGAAGCATTGTAAGTTTAATATCGGTAACTGTTCACATGCAAAAGATATAATGAAATACAATATCCGTCTCAAATTATAGTTATTAAAAATGTACTGAAAGGTACTGCTTCATTGTCCTATCATTTAATCTTGTGACAGTGTGCAAAAAGGTTTGATGAACTAAAAAGCAGTGGAAGTTCACCTGTTGACAACCAGTATAATCCCCTGATGGCCGCTGGTGGGAGTCCTGTGGAAACTTTAGCTACGTACATCAAATCCTCCTTGCTCGATACACAGACAGAGTTTCAGGAGCCTGCTATTGGGCAGGATTCCATTACTATAACTGGTATGTTTTTAGTCATTCTGAAATATATTGGCTTTGATTATAATCGGTATGTGCATGCTTCTCTGTCCCGAGTGGTAAGTCCACCCAGGAACAGTACTTGTTCATCTTTGAAAAAGAAAGTTAAGTATAAATATAATGCATACATGAAGTGATTTTCAGTTAGTTTAGATTAAGAATCGATGTTTGTTTGGGTATTTTTAATAGCTTGTCCTTCCAAAAGGCATAAACCCTTACGCTAAATCCTCTCTTTAGGATTTTTGGTGGGGAGAGGAATTACTCTCCTGTTCTGTATCCCCAGTGCTGTACTGTTAAACCTACAGCCATTTGCAATCACGTTCAGCTGTGTTATTAAAATAACTAGGAAGTTTTGTGTAGAAAAGCTGCAGAAAGCTGAGAAGGTGATCCCTTGAGGTCAGACCCTTCTCTCCCAGCAAAAAGCCCTGTGTTTGCCATGCTGCTTGGTGGCAGGATGGCTACATAGGATTTGGAGTGTAGTCTAGCTACTTTTTGATGCAAGACAGTCTTGCAATGACATATAACGTCTTAGTCAATTATGTGTCCCAGTAATAATTTGGCAGAAGAGGACCGGTCCGAACAGTTGTATTTCAATGACGGCACAATTAAACATTGTTAACATCTCCTTAAGTACTTCTCCTGTAAGAAGTTGTAATTAACTGTGTGATAGTTATTCTCTGGTTTTCATTGTAGACTGAGATGTTTTCAGCGCCTTGTAGCACTTGATAAATGTGTTGCATCAGAAATTTGCTTCAGTAATGAGTAAACAATTTCTGTGTTAAAAATTAAGAAGACAGTGAAGTGTTTAAACAAAATGTTCTCTGTTATGATGTCCTTCACAGTGCTGCAGCTTTCTGGTCGCTGTACTCTTTGCAGAAGAAAAACAGCTGTCTGACCTTTGCTGGAGACCAAATAAAATGTTTTTAATAACTCTAATCAAGAGATGATATTTGAAAACTGTGTATGGAGTATCTAGACTGAAAATGCTTCTAGTCAGCTTTCAATTATGTACTTGTTATGTGCATGATGTGGAATAAATGCTTCTTGAACCCACAGGTGGCTACTTATAAGATTAGTAGCTTCCCAGTAGGCAGTTAACAAGCTAACTCTGCTTATAGAACTCTTTAGACAATTAGTGCATGTTTTCTTTTTAACAATGTAATACATATAATAAGTATTAATGCAGTTAAGTACCCTGATGTTTCCTACTACAAGATCCTAGCCTGAGATTTTTCTCCGTTTTCTTTGCCACTTTGGATAAATCATTTTCCCTGTTTATTTGTAATTTGTTGGTATGAAATTAGGATAATTAACCTTCTCACAGTCTTTTAGTGAGCTCACCTTCTTAATATTTGTGAGGTACTTGTATATTTCAGAATTGGGGATTTGAGCAAAGCCAATTTTTAAATGTTTTTTGTTTAGTTAATTACTTCCTAGTGGATTTATTCACATCTGCTTTATTGTTAGGATCAAGAATTTTGGGCCTGTTTGGATTTGTTTGTAGACATGAGTAACAGCAAGAAAAAGCAATCAGACCAAATTAATTTTGAGCTGGATTCTGGTTTTGGCTGAGTTATAAAAGCTCATTTATTGCTTGCTAATTACAAGGCAAACTGCTGCTAAGTCCCTCTGAATGCATATTATGGCAGTAAACAAGCATATAGGATAGCCTTTTACCCAAAGTATTTATTACTAACATTCAGAAGTCAAACAATCTGTAAGCTTTGGGGGAAAGAGGAAAAAAAAAGGAAGAAATTAAGTTAGAAAAAAGATGAAGTTAGAATCATAGAATGGTTTGGGTTGGAAGGGACCTCTAAAGGTCATCTAGTCCAACCCCCCTGCCGTGGGCAGGGACATCTTCAACTAGATCAGGTTGCTCAGAGCCCCGTCCAACCTGGCCTGGAATGTTTCCAGGGATGGGGCATCCACCACAGTTCAGACATCCCCGTTAATTTGGCTGTGCTGCATATTCTTGTCAGCATTATTTCCTTTTCTTTAATAAATAACTTCACTGTGTTCAAAATAAACTTCTTAATATTTGCAGATGGAACTCTTCCATGTCATTTTTTTCCACAGGCCCTTCCTTTAAAATACTCGCCTTACCTTGCATTCCAAATCTAGGACTCCCACCTTGGCTGTCTTAATGCTAGCACGGGTCATCTGCCTGCAGCGGAACGGCTGCCCTGAAGGCTGTGGCTGATCCAGCCCCTGCCAAGGTTTTACTAGGGTCTGTCTAGTAAATCTTCCCCTTTTATTAACTGTGTTCCCTCTGTATGGCCTTACTAAGGCTTAACGGTGCAAGGCCTTAGGCTGTATCTTTGGAGAAAGTTTTGTTTCTTCTGCCTCTGGTGTGGTAACTTTGCTTTCCTGAAGGGCATAACTACTGTGTTCTGATCTGTATAGAGCTTCCAGATCATTTTTGGTGTCGGTCTGCTATAGTTATTTAGCCATAAGATGAAGAGGTCTATCTTAGTCGTCTTCAGAAGATTACAGCCTCTTACATTACACGAGAGGGAGAAGAGGCTTCTGGAACTCTTTTCCTAGAAATCTGAGAGTAAGGAGTAACCATGGAAAATCATGACCTTACAGGTTTTCATCAAGGGAAGACAGATATGTGCCCGTCCATTATTTAAAAAAGATACTGATCATTCTGACTTACAAGCAAGATTATTGAAGTTTCAGATTGCAGCAATCCATTCATCACAGTCGGAAAAGTTAGTCAGTGTCTGAATGCTGGGCTTGTCTTAACCCTTCATCCAGAACTTGTTGGATTTGGTGACTAGACCTCCTGGAGTTCACTGGATTTTGCGTCCAGGTTCCACTGCTTGTAGTGCACTTGTGAAGATAACCTATTTGAACTAAAGGGCAGCTGTCCTTTATTCCTGGGATAAGCTACGTGATGTAGCTTCAGGACTAGACAAATTCATGCTCTGCTTTCTTTGAGCATCGTTTTATATAATCTGCTGCTTTAAGCCACGTCTTTGAGAAACTTAGCAAAAACACATCTTAAGAGACTTCTGCGCTTATGTTTGGAAGCAACTTGTTTCCAAAGATAACAGATTATGGATAAGAAGTGGAGTTAGTCTCAAGTTGTTGTATCCTGGCAGCAAAGCTTCCTGAGAACAGAAATTTTGATGTGACAGTCTCTTAAGACCCACATCCCACAAAGCAGACAAGGAGAGCTAAGGGAATGGATTGCATTCCCAGAAGGAAATGCTGAAGGCTCTGTGTGAATCTTACTGCTCTATATTGAGACAGGACTGATCTGGTTTTGCGGCCAAGTGTCTGGGCAACCCAGCAATGCTGCTGGTCTGAGTTTCCAGTGCATGGCATTTAGAGCAGGAATTTGGATTATCTAGTAGCCCTTATGATAGCGGATTTGTCGCTAGTTGTGTAACATTGCTCCACCATGAGAGCTGTTACTTCAGTTGCGTTTCCAAGATGCTGAAGAGCAAAAGGTCAGGCATTTTTGTTCTAATGCAGCCTTTTTTCCTTACATTTAAGGAAGGGCCAGCACAACCTCCACAAGGAATTGTTCTTCAGAATCTGAGAAAGGTCCTGTGCATAAAGGCGGAGAAAGCACTGACGAAAGCCAGGGGTAAGGGGATCTTTGTGTCTTTATTATCTAGGGGATTATAGAACCGACAGAAAGATGTCTAAATTGCTCATACTTTTCTACTATCAGAAAGAATACAGCTGGGAACATCCTAATAAATGCTGTAAGAAATTCTGAAACCTTACATTGCTACAGAAATACCAGGGGTTGGTTTGAGAATTTATTATGTGCAATAGGGATAGCGCATTTATAAATCTGTCCATAGTGTTCCTCTGAGTGATTTATCACTGCTGTGGTGAGAATGGGAAACATAACCTGATTTTACAAAGGAATGAAACAAGATTGATGCTCAATAACATTTTAATTAAAAAAAAAAAAAGTAATGTTCTGTGAACATAGATTTGTCCTATGTAACAGCAGGAAAAGAAAGCCGTAAATGAAAATTGCAAATGAAAAATTTTACTATGAATTCAAATAGCCGTGCATGTCACTGTTTTTCATACTATCACATCCCTGTTTTCCATAGTATACAAGTACACGTAGAATAATGTGTTTGTTTGAAACCTAAGGGTAACCATCTTTCTGTAGAGACAGCATTAACTGATTCTAGCTTTGACCTTTTCTTAAGAAATAGACATTTTAATATACAATAAACCAATCTTAATTTCCACAGATGAAAATTGCTATCGTATGCTGTTATTCTCCTTGGTGCCTCAGTAACTTAGGCATATATATCTGCCTGTTTTTTCAAGAAAATTAAAAAGGGAGAACAAATAAGTTCTCTATGTAATTCAGGTAGTATCCCATAACAAACTGGTGACAAAACTGGGGACTGGAGCTAGAAATTTTCTTTCTCCGGTCCCTGAACTTAACAGTTAAATCGCACTGATGATGTGTAAGAGGATACCCATCTGTGTTCTTCACCTGACAATGCTATCTGACAATAGCTTCTATTAATAGTTGGTATTAATAGTTAATAACTGCAGTTTGTTTTCCTTCTGTTAATAAAAACCTGTTAGTGACATCAGTGTTGCAATGTGTGATCCAGATTTGGAGATGAGATCTTTGTTGATCGGTTTTGGTGTTCTAATTGGCTTACGGTCCTAATTTGGTTCATGGCTTGTTTTCTTCTCGAGGCCAAATATGGTGATCCATGTGTGCGATGAAGCTAAAAACCTCAAAGAAGATTTTGTTTGTCCTCGAGACCTTTTGATTTCAGAAATGAAATACTTTGCTGAATATCTGTCAGTGGATGCCCAGCGCTGGGAAGAGGTGGACATTTCAGTGCACTGTGACGTTCACATCTTTGACTGGTTGATAAGATACGTTAAAAGGAACACTAAAGATTCTGAAGCTAATGAAATGCCCACTTTAGGTAAAAGAAAGCGTGTAGATCGTTTGTTGTAGGTTCATTATGTTCTGTACTAATGGAAGAGTAATGTTTTTGACACAGTTCAGCCCCAGTCTCTTTGTTTCTGACTGTTGCACTGAAGCTTGTCACTTGTTTGAAAAGTGTTGCAGCAGAGATCCTCTGGTCATTATAGCAGATGTCTCTGATTTGTCAACACTGACAGTTTTGAGGAAACATCCTGATAGTTGAAGCAGTGAAAAAGGTCTAATATATTTTGGGATCTGGTGTTTTTAATTAAGATTCTTCAGACCTCTTCTGAGCAAGAACAGAGCGGTAGTTTTAAAATACTGATGATTGTTAGGTTTTGTTTTGTTTCCGCTTTGCTCCCTATTGGTACAATTGCAATATTTTCTAAAATTTCAATGCAGTCTGATACAATGGTAGAAGAACTTTTGCCTTTATGAATTTGAGGCAAGTTTCTAATCTTTTTATGAGCCTTTGCTACCATTTTTTAAAAATCTAAACAAACCAAGAGAGTAGAGTTATAACTTGCAATGCAAAGGTTATGTTAAGCAAAATCTCAGCTGGGTATGATGGCTACAGATGGAAGTTAATCTTTTTGTGTAATTGTTTAGTCATTGTATCCCTGTGAAGCCACCTTTTCCATTTTCTATAAATACCAGTTTGTTATAGTTGTACTCTGGCCACCTAAATGATAAACCAAAATTTTGTTTGTTAAGATGGAAAATGCTCTACGTATTGGAAGATGGAATGACAGGTTGATTGGTAAAATAATACTTAAACCAGATACTAAATACGCAGAGGGAGGGATGTGATATGAAATTATCAAAAGAATTCTTGTAAAAAAAACCCCCTTTTTTTGTTGCCTTTTAGAACCATCAAATGTCATATCAATTCTTATTTCTTCTGAGTTTTTGAAGATGGATTCATTAGTAAGTATTAAGAATGAAAGATTCTCTGCCATAAGGGCACCGTTACTTACCAGGTGTCTAACAGCTTGTTTGTTTTGCTTTGGCTGTTGTATAAACAGATGATGCAATGGGAACATTTTGAGATTTTTACCACCTTTCTTATTCAATGCAGTAATCTAGTATTTGTAGAATCTCAATGCAAGAAAATTAACAGAGTAAATTATTTCTAAATGTGATAGCGGGATCTTGGATTTGCCTTCTGATGACTGATTTGGAGTAACATCAGTATCTGACTTCGGACAGGTTTTATTAAAAAAGATTATTAAATCAATGAATACCTTTGTTTTATATCCTTTTTTACACGAATGACACTTCTGCAGTTTAGGATCTGGTTCTCCAGCTCTGTATAAGTAATATCTGCTGAGTTGTTTGTCAAAAGTTCTGTCATTGGGGTGACCCACAATTAATTACACAGTAGACATAGCCGTTTAAGTTGAGATCCAGGCAATACTATGTATAATGTGTTCTGTGGTTCTCTTTTTACAAGCAACTGGAAGGTACCACTTGTTAAAGATGAAACATTTGTGGAGTTGTTTTCTGGTCTGTAGAAACCTTTTGGAGGAGAACACGAACTGACTCAGAGTCACGTTAATTCAGAGTCTCCTTTAGACAAACCTGAGACTTGTTTTTCATTTTTAAGTTGAACTGAAATAGTTTTCCAAAACACCACACTTTAAAAAATAAAAATCTTGAAGCAATGAGTACGTCTTTTGAGATAGCTTTGTCTAGAATTCCTTAACATTATTTTTAATGTTTCTGTTTTTCCTAGGTAGAAAAATGCATTCATTATTGTCACAAAAATATGAATGCTATTGTAGCCACGCCATGTAACATGAATTGTATCAATGCTAATCTTGTCACGCACATTGCTGATCTCTTCACACATCCATTTTCTATAAATTCCGGTTTGTTATAGTTGTACTCTGGCCACCTAAATGATAAACCAAAATTTTGTTTGTTAAGATGGAAAATGCTCTACGTATTGGAAGATGGAATGACAGGTTGATTGGTAAAATAATACTTAAACCAGATACTAAATACGCAGAGGGAGGGATGTGATATGAAATTATCAAAAGAATTCTTGTAAAAAAAACCCCCTTTTTTTGTTGCCTTTTAGAACCATCAAATGTCATATCAATTCTTATTTCTTCTGAGTTTTTGAAGATGGATTCATTAGTAAGTATTAAGAATGAAAGATTCTCTGCCATAAGGGCACCGTTACTTACCAGGTGTCTAACAGCTTGTTTGTTATGCTTTGGCTGTTATATAAACAGATGATGCAATGGGAACATTTTGAGATTTTTACCACCTTTCTTATTCAATGCAGTAATCTAGTATTTGTAGAATCTCAATGCAAGAAAATTAACAGAGTAAATTATTTCTAAATGTGATAGCGGGATCTTGGATTTGCCTTCTGATGACTGATTTGGAGTAACATCAGTATCTGACTTCGGACAGGTTTTATTAAAAAAGATTATTAAATCAATGAATACCTTTGTTTTATATCCTTTTTTACACGAATGACACTTCTGCAGTTTAGGATCTGGTTCTCCAGCTCTGTATAAGTAATATCTGCTGAGTTGTTTGTCAAAAGTTCTGTCATTGGGGTGACCCACAATTAATTACACAGTAGACATAGCCGTTTAAGTTGAGATCCAGGCAATACTATGTATAATGTGTTCTGTGGTTCTCTTTTTACAAGCAACTGGAAGGTACCACTTGTTAAAGATGAAACATTTGTGGAGTTGTTTTCTGGTCTGTAGAAACCTTTTGGAGGAGAACACGAACTGACTCAGAGTCACGTTAATTCAGAGTCTCCTTTAGACAAACCTGAGACTTGTTTTTCATTTTTAAGTTGAACTGAAATAGTTTTCCAAAACACCACACTTTAAAAAATAAAAATCTTGAAGCAATGAGTACGTCTTTTGAGATAGCTTTGTCTAGAATTCCTTAACATTATTTTTAATGTTTCTGTTTTTCCTAGGTAGAAAAATGCATTCATTATTGTCACAAAAATATGAATGCTATTGTAGCCACGCCATGTAACATGAATTGTATCAATGCTAATCTTGTCACGCACATTGCTGATCTCTTCACACACAATGAAGTAGAAGAGTTGAAGGACAAAAGGGACAAATTTAAGAGGTAACTTTTTGCCCTGTAATACACTACTGAAGTGCTGTCGGGCCTTTGGATCCTTTTTCAGAACAGCTAAGACACTGTGGGGTTTGAAGTGACACATATACATTATATAAGAATATAAATTGTATCTTGAACACAGAATACCATGAAGTGACTTCAGAATTTTATATTAAAATTATGAGCAAAAGGAAAGAGCTTTTTATAGGAAACAAGCAAAAGGAAAGGCCACACTAGGGGTGCGATATGGACAAATTATTCATGAATTCTCCCATGGGAGCCGGGATTAGGGTAAGGAACCTTTTATGCGATGACATGCTCCTAATTCGTAGAGAATGGTTTGGCTTCAGCATCCTGTGAACTCTGATGTTTGGACATAGAATTTGGGATGGCTGGAAGGCTGAATAGTTGTGGTGGAATACTACTTCATACATAAGGAATCCGGCTTAGTCAGTATCAAGATAAGGGCCAATTATTGGAGGGCATACCGACGGACAAGCAAGGTGAAAGTAAGAAAGTATTTTAACCAGTAGAGATGAAGACATTATAACTTTTAGAATTAAAGTTAAGTGTAATTTCACAGAAGTATTCATTAATAAAAGGTCTTTTAGTCAAGGTAGAAGCTGGCAGTTTACATTGGCAAACAAAGAATGTAATAGAGGAAAAAACTTTTTTCTTTCTTTCCTCACATCTGTGTAAAAATAAGAGATGACCAGGTCAGGAACCAGTTATCCAAACAGATTATTTTAAAGGAAAATAACAAAATTAAAAGCTAGATTCTGAAAGAAGTGTGGTGGCTTTGCATATCATCAGACTATCATTGTTAGTCTCACTATACATAAAACAATTTTCAGTCTTTTCTAATGGGTAGGCTGTGTTGCTGTCATTAATAGTAAACTTTTCTGCAAGAAGATTGAGAGACTGTTTGATCCAGAGTACCTAAATCCAGATTCTCGAGGAAATGCAGCAACATTATACAGGTATGGTCTTTTCTTTTCTTTTTATTACTACTTCAGTTGCAGGGACAGTCCCTGTGTTTTGATGTACTCCTGTTACCCCAGTACTTTTTTCTTCCCTTTTTTTTTTTTTAAAAATCTAGGTGTTGTTTATGTAAAAAGCTGCTAACTAAAGAAACTGAAAGAAGAATTCCTTGTGTACCAGGAAAAATCAACATAGATCAACATGGGAATATTGTCTATGTTCATATAAGGTAGTGAATATATATATTAAAAAAAAATTTCTTCAACTATATGATTTGGGGTGATTTTAAAAAATACTACATGTTTAGGAATTATCAAAATGAAGTCATAGATATGTGAAGAGCAGTATGAAACATCTCAACTTCTTATATTACCTAGCAAAAAAATAAAAAAGGGGGGGGCAATTATGATGATTACAATACTTCTGACATTCATTCAGCAGTGCCGCTGCTGAGTGGAAATGGAAAAGCTACAGCCACGATTACTGGGAGGGCTATTTTGGGTTGGACTGCCTTAAATAAAAAATGCTGAGCTAATTCTTTCATCAAAGGGTTTTAAGATATGTGTAGTCGATGACAAATTAAATTAAAGGCTGCGTTTCTACAAGGTTTGCTATGAAATGATAAATCCACGTCTGCCAGCAAAGAAATGCTAAAGATTATTTTCTAGACTGACTTCATACTGTCAAATCACATACTCAGCCTCCTTAAAGACTACTATAAATAAACTTTGCCAGTTGTTTTTCTGTTCTAAAGTATTTGTCAGAGGAGCTTCCAGGACTATTCGGTATGTATGCCTTATTCATTTGGCACAAATGTTTAATTCAGCTCTGTCTGTTTGATCCATGTTTGTGAATAGCTGAATTCTCTTCTTAATGAAGATCAGTGCGCGATCAGCTGCAGTTCCCTCCCTCCCCGCATGCCCCCTTTAAGGAAGATAGTGGAAAATTAGTAACAGGAGACCTTTCTCGTCAGATCTATTTCATTCAGAACAACCAAAACACAGTTCAGTGTCAGCTCCCAAGGTAACACATATTTAGTGTTACCTCCCATCAGTAATTCGAAGGTGTGGATCAAGTTCTGCCTAACAGTCTAACTAGAACCGAATCTTGCGACCCTGTCCTGACCTATTAGGATCATTGGTGATTAGCCACGTAAAATTCATTAATGGTATTACTTCACTTAAGCTGACTGTATGTCGCCGCTATGCAATTCCTAGAATATAGATGTACAGGGTTTAACAGTTACTCAGAGGATTACTTAGGTTCTAATTATTTGCCTTGTGGCGCTTGCGACTGCTTTTCTACACAGAATCCATTTACCGTTCTTTAGGTGAAGTGACGCTGGCCACTAATGAATTCAGGCTTATGAGCTATTACAAGCCTGTCTTTCACGACTTAAAAATAGGTTTATATTTATTGATCCCCTAGTGGTGCCTAGGACTAACTTCCTATTGGAAGTACTGCTCGCTTAGTCTAGGTTAGATGTGTATATGTAATAAAAAATGGTTCAGGCCAGGGCTTAAAATTGTGTGAAAACAGTAATCTGCTCTTTCTGAAGATAGCATGCACCAGTGTGGGTTGCGTATTCTCTTTTAAATTCTGAAGAGGCGTGTGTCATTTTATCACTAGGAAGGAGCAAAGTCTGTGTTTTTAAGACCAGAAGTCTCAGATTCATCAAAAAGCCATGGTCTTATATGTTCAAACTTTA